ATTTAATCTGTTTAGACACTTGATCTTTATTCTGTGTACATTTGTCTCCTAGGATGATACATAGGCCCATTGAAGATCTGGATCAGATTCTGCCGTTGAAACACAATTTAGCCCCGCCCCTCCTGCGCTCACTAGGGAGAGGCGTTGGGGAGCTCATGACCCACGCGGCTCAGCCAGTGGCTGACGCACCCTCGAAAAGTTGCGCTCCGACCTTCTCACGACCTACATTCTTCCCGGGCACTCTTGAGTTTGAGCTGGGCCCGGAGGACGTGGGCCAAGACTTTCCAGCGGCGGCCGCCCCCGGGGCGAGGAGCCGGCCCCGCTTTCCTCACGGGGTCCAGCGCAGGCGTCCCCGGGAACGCAGCGCAAACTTTCTGGACTGTCTGAGGACACTTGTCCAGCGAGCGCCACTGCTCGGGGAGGAGGAGCCACGGTCGGGGACAGGTAGGTGCTGTGATGGCCGGAGATTTGCGCTTGAGGGATTCTTTTATTTTAGGGGGTTAAAGGAGGAGGGAGACTCGAAATGTCCCTTCTCTGCATCCACCAGCTGGGCAGGGGGAGCAGGCATTGGGCTGGGGGGAGGCTGGGGACGTTCCAAACGGGGTCGCTGCGTCGGGCCGGGGCGCCAGGGGGAGGAGGTGACTCCCAGGGTTTCGGGCTCCGGGACGGGGCGTTACGCGGTGACTGACCCTGGGATAGAGAGAGCCAGCTTGTTTTGACGAAGGAAGATGTCATCAGGGCCCTCCATCCCATTCATTGGTCCCTGGGTCCTCTGGGAGGTACAGGCAAAGGCAAAGAGATGTGCAGTTCAGGTTTCCCTTGTAAATCACCTTGCTTGCATAGGAGACAGAGGCGGTGCCCCTCTGAGGGTTGCAGCCCTTTCCTGGTGTAAGGACTTACTTGTTGGGTAGCTGTTGCTCAATTTCGTAAATTCTCTGATGAAACTCCGTTCGAGTCGTGGTTGTTATTGATAGTGTGTGTGTGTTTGTGTTTCCTCTGGCTCAACAAAGGTCCCTTGTTAACTCCACTTCTGCTAGGGAATGGGAGGAACTACCTGCTGTCTTATTTCAGGCCTGGTTAGAGCGAGGTGTTGGTGCAGGGGGCGGTAACCTTGTTGGCTTGGGACTTTGGGAATCATATGAGCAGGTCTGGTGCATTAGCCCAGTTCTGTCCCAGCCTCCTGGACCCACCCGTTCACAGCAGATCCAGCTTCCGTTGTTCAGCAGATGCTACAGCCCCAGCCATCCAGGGACAGGGAAACCCTCCTGAAGGGAAAGAGCCAAATATTGAGAAGGTGAGACAGCTCTCAGGAGGAGGAGGAGTAAACAGTGCCTACTAGTTGTTGCTTCCCTATAGATAGGGCTCGCTCCCTTGGCTTCTCTGGAAGGGCTGTGCTATCAGATTCATCTCATTAGGAAGTCAGCTGCTCCCTGCTAATAGCCATAGCAGCCCTGATGAAATTATATAGGTCATTGAAAAATAATTCCTGGTTAATCACCTTTATCCTGTTGATTAATGAGAGGAAAGATTTCCTCTCCTTAATGTACCATGCCTGCTTGTCAGGGTCACCTGCCTGACCTCAAGTTCACTTGTACACCTGGCACTAGGCAGGATGCTGTCCCCGAAGCTGTCCACATGTGGTGAACCACAGCTGAAGTCCACATTTGGAGAACTTCAAAGGTCTTCTTTGGACAGAAATCGAACAGGAGATTTAGTCCACAAATTCACTCTGTAATGCAGCATACTTGTTGGCTTTAGGTAACTTTTCTCATAATTAAAGGTTCAGAGCTCATAGAATTATGTCCTTGCCTGTCTTGAAATAAATTAAGTTTAGAGTCCTATTTATCATTTATCCTATAGGACAAGGAACAGGATTAAACTGTGTGGGGTGGCTGGAAAGGGTCAGAGAAACTGGACATCACTGAAGTGGATTCAGAGAGTGATTGAGAGTGGTCTAAAAATTTAGGTCCAACTGCCCGGCTACCTTTTTTCTTGGCTCTCATGTAGAGACTTTATGTAGAACTTTTAATGGAGGACTTGAAGACTAGAAATAAAAGGAGTGTTTTATTTTTACAGAGTCAGAGTAATGCATTGCTGGACAGTTCTGTACTCTGCCTCCCAAGATTGGGTCAAAATACTTTCTTTGCTAAGTTCTTTCTTTAATAGGAACTTGATAGATAATGAGTGCAAACAAGAAGCAGATGTACAAATATGTTGTGTAGAGATATGGAGGTAAAAATGAGAAAAAACAAGAATTGCTTCTGAGGAGTGAAATTATATTTCTTTCTTTCTTTCTTTCTTTTTAAAGTTAGGGTCTCTCTCTGGCCCAGGCTAGAGTTCAGTGGCATGGTCTCGGCTCCCTGCAGCCTCGATATCCTGGGCTCAAGCAATCCTCCCACCTTAGCCTCCTGAGTAGCTGGGACCACAGGTTCATGCCACCACACTCTGTTAACTTTTTGTATTTTTCATACAGACAGGGTTTTGCCACGTTGCCCAGGCTGCCCTTGAGCTCCTGGACTCAAGCAATCCACCTGCCTTGGTCTCCCAAAGTGCTGGGATTACAGGTGTGAGCCACCACACCTGGCCTCTTGTATTACTTTCATAAAGAAAATTTAATAAGAAACCTCATTTCCCCCTGCAAATATAAAGCAAAATTGCCTTATTTAATCTGTTTAGACACTTGATCTTTATTCTGTGTACATTTGTCTCCTAGGATGATACATAGGCCCATTGAAGATCTGGATCAGATTCTGCCGTTGAAACACAATTTAGATCTACTTCATCCTTATTTTTAGCAACTTCCAACCCTTGATTTTTAGCCCAGGTAGGGCAACAGTGCTCAATAGTGACAAGAAACTCCAGGGACTTCATTTATAGGGATCTCTTAATGAAGACGATTACAGAAGCGAACAGTTCTGTAGTGCTTTATGTTTCACGAAGTGCTTTCATGTACCATGTTTGTGCCTTGTGATTTAACCATTTTGTAGTAGATGCCATTGTATTTAGATTACATGGGAGGAAAGCAGATGAGGCTCAGAGATAATAAAGGACTTTTTTTGAGATGGAGTTTCGTTCTTGTTGCCCAGGCTGGAGTGCAATGGCGTGATCTCAGCTCATTGCAACCTCTGCCTCCCAGTTCAGGTGATTCTCCTACCTCAGTCTCCTGAGTAGCTGGTATTACAGGTACCCACCACCATGCCCAGCTAATTTTTTTTGTATTTTTAGTAGAGACGGTGTTTCACCATGTTGGCCAGGGTGGTATCAAACTCCTGACTTCAGGTGATCCACTCACCTAGGCCTCTCAAAGTGCTCGGATTACAGGCGTGAGCCACCGTGTTCGGCTGATAATAAGGGACTTTTATATGCATACTTTGCTCCTGTATATTGTGGACTCAGACCTGAATTCAGGATTTCTGATTTACAGGCCATGCTTTCACTTTTTTCCCTGTTACATTTTGTGAAGTGGTTGGATGTGAAATGTGCTCTTCCTTCTTTCCTTCTTTCTCTTCTCTTCTTTTCTCTTCTCTTTTTCTCTTCTCTTTCCTTTCTTTCTTTTCTTTCCTTCCTTTCTTTCCTTTCCTTCCTATCCTTCCTTTCTTTCATTTCCTTCCCTTCCTATCCTTCCTTTCCTTCATTTCCTTCCCTTTCTTCCTTTCCTTTCTTTTCTTTTCTTTTCTTTTCTTTTCTTTTCTTTTCCTTTCTTTCCTTTCTTTTGACAGAGTTTTGCTCATTGTTGCCTAGGCCGGAGTGCAATGGCACGATCTCAGCGCACTGCAACCTCCACCTCCCACTTTCAAGCAATTCTCCTGCCTCAGCCTCCTGAGTAGGTGGGATTACAGGCATGCACCACCACACCTGGCTAATTTTGTATTTTTAGTAGAGACGGGGTTCCTGCATGTTGGTCAGGCTGGTCTCAAACTCCCGACCTCAGGTGATCCACCTCTCTTGGCCTCCCAAAGTGCTGAGATTACAGACGTGAGCTACCGTGCCTGGCCCTCTTATTTCTTATTAATCAAAATATGAGCTCATGTGGAGACAGGATGACAGGACTATATATGAATATGTGCATATATGTGTATGTATAACTGTGTGTACACATATAACATATAGTCTGTATAGCCTTAGCATCTCAACAGTATAGCTGTACAATAAAATTAAAGTAACCTCCATTAAGTTTGGAAGGGAAATCTTGGAAAGTGGCATGGGTGAATAAATGCCCTGATAGATTGAATAAGGAATTTTGGCAATGTCTAAAATTGAAAAACTCTGTAAATAGCAGTTTAAGTGCATGATTTACAAATATAGAAGTAATTACCAGAAGAAATAGCTAGAAGAGTTGAAGCACATTCTTTTGGGGAATGAAACTCAGGGGTGAGGAGGAGCCAGGCAGAAATCTGCTGTTTTTGGCTATGTACCTTATAATATTAGATCACATTTTATACTGTGTACATATATATTACTTTATTTTACTTTATTTATTTTTTGAGGCAGAGTCTCGCTCTGTTGCCCAGGCTGGAGTGCAGTGGCATGATCTCAGCTTGCTGCAACCTCCGCCTCCTGGGTTCAAGCCATTCTCCTGCCTCAGCCTTCCAAGTAGCTGGGACTATAGGCACGCACCACAATGCTCGGCTATTTTTTGTATTTTTAGTGGAGATGGGGTTTCACCATGTTGGCCAGGCTGGTCTCCAATTCCTGACCTCAAGTGATCCGCCTGCCTGAGTCTCCCAAAGAGCTGGGATTACAGAGTGAGCCACCGCTCCTGGCCTCTTATGTATTACTTTAAAAAAAAGCCCTTTGGCAAGGATGGAGCAAAGGTCTTTTGTCAGAATTTTAGAGCCAAAAAGGACCACAAAGATTATTTATTCCCAGTTCTTCCATTTTACAGGTGAGGAAATTGAGATATAGAAATTTAAATGTTTTGGTCATGGTCACATAATTGTAGAGACAAACCTCTTCCAGACAAGGTCACACCTTTTCCCAGGCAGGTAGAAAGTTTTACCTTGCTAGTGATTCTTCAATTTCCTTTCTAGGCAATTATTTCACCTTCTATCTAGTTAGTTTTTTGTTTGTTTGTTTGTTGGTTTGTTTTCTTGAGATGGAGTCTCACTCTGTCACCTAGGCTGGAGTGCAGTGGTGCAATCTCAGCTCACTGCAACCTCCACCTCCCGGGTCCAAGTCATCCTCTTGCCTTAGCCTCCTGAGTAGCCGGGACTACAGGCATGCGCCACCATGCCCAGCTAAGTTTTGTATTTTTTTTTAGTAGAGATGGGATTTCACCATGTTGGCCAGGCTGGTCTCGAACTTCTGACTTTCGGTGATCCGCCTGCCTCGGCCTCCCAAAGTGTTGGGGTTATAGGCGTGAGCCACTGCGTCTGGCCTCTATCTAGTTTTTACAGTGTTTGAACAGGTTACTGGACTATAGATTCAAAAGTATTTTTATCTAA